GTATGGTCATTATGCGAAGGATTGTAACTCCTACAAATGTTACAACTGTGACAAAGTGGGACATCTTGCAAAAGACTATTGAAATGAAAAGAAGATTGAAGAAACAACCAACCTAGCCTTGGAAGATGAATCGAATGAAGGCTTTCTCCTGATGGCTCAAAACGAAATCAACACCAATGACAGTGTTTGGTATCTTGACTCAGGAGCAAGTAATCACATGTGTGGTTACAAACACCTGTTTAAAGATATGAAGAGAATTGAAGATGGTAATGTGTCTTTTGGAGATGCATCGAAAGTGAAGGTCGAAGGAAAGGGCACAATCAGTTACTTGCAGAAGGATGGCTTGATTGGATCAATCGAAGACGTTTACTATGTACCAGATCTCAAGACCAACATATTAAGTTTGGGACAACTTACAGAAAAAGGTGCTTCGATACTGATGAAAGATCGAACACTGCATTTGAAGGACAAAGCAGGATATCTGATTGCCGCTGTCGAAATGGAAAGAAATCGAATGTACAAACTGAACCTGAGGAACATTCGAGAGAAATGTCTGCAAATCGAAGTGCAAGACAAAGCGCCACTATGGCATATGCGCTTTGGTCATCTACATCATGCTGGTTTGAGAAGGTTGGCGAAAAGGAACATGGTGCATGGACTACCAGACATGGATTTCGAAGGGAAATTCTATGAAGAATGTGTGCTCAGCAAACAAATAAGAACCTCATTTCAAAGGAAGACAGAGTATCAAGCTAAACATATTCTCGAATTGATACATACTGACATATGTGGGCCAATCACTCCAGAATCCTTTAGTGGAAAAAGGTACTTCATTTCTTTTATTGATGACTTCTCAAGAAAAACCTGAGTTTACTTCTTGAAAGAAAAATCTGAAGCATTAGAAGTGTTCAAAAAGTTCAAAGTAATGGTGGAAAAGGCAACATATAGACACATCAAAGCAATTCGATCTGACAGAGGAGGAGAGTATACTTCAATGGCTTTTGTGAAGTACTGTGAAGAACAGGGCATAAGGAGATTCCTAACTGCACCATATTCACCTCAGTAAAATGGTGTGGCTGAAAATAAGAATCGAACTATTTTTGACATGGTTCGATCAATGCTCAAAAGCAAGAACATGTCAAAAGAATTCTGGGCAGAAGCAGTACAATGTGCTGTTTATATTCAGAATAGATGTCCACATTCAAAGTTAGAAGACAAAACACCACAAGAAGCATGGAGTGGACAGAAGCCAACAATTTCTCATCTCAAGGTATTTGGTAGTATAGCTTATGCACATGTACCAGATCAACGAAGAACAAAGCTTGAAGACAAAAGTCAGAAGTACATATTCATTGGATATGATGAGAAGACGAAAGGGTACAAGCTCTTCAATCTCATAAGCAAGAAAGTGATCGTGAGCAGAGACGTTCGAATGAACGAAGCAAGCAAGTGGGACTGGAACATTTCGACAGAGGTTGTTGACACAGTCAAAGAAACAACTGTAGCTGTACCAACAAGTATTCCAACAGAACATGAAGAAACAGAAGATGGAGATGAACCTCTACAACCCAAAATGAGAAGTTTGCAAGATTTGTATGATTCAACAAGTGAGGTGCATCTTGTGTGTCTTCTGGCAGATGCTGAAAACATCAGCGTCGAAGAAGCGTTACGAGACAAGAAGTGGAAAAGTGCCATGGACGAAGAGATTAGAGCAATCGAACACAACAATACTTGTGAGCTAGTCGAATTACCAAAAGGAAGTTAACCCATTGGTGTAAAGTGGGTATTCAAGAAAAAGATGAATGCTCAAGGAGAAATCGAAAGATTCAAAGCACGGCTGGTTGCGAAGGGAAACAAACAGAAAGCAGGAATTGACTATGACGAAGTGTTTGCGCCTGTTGCAAGAATGGAGACAATTCGATTACTCATTTCTCAAGCTGCTCAGTTCAAATGGCCAATATTTCAAATGGATGTCAAGACAACATTTTTGAATGGTGTGCTCGAAGAAGAAATCTATGTCGAACAACCACTTGGATATATGAGAACTGGAGAAGAGAAAAAGGTGTTGAAACTGAAGAAATCACTGTATGGGCTGAAGCAAGCACCTAGGGCATGAAACACACGTATTGACAATAAATCAGCTATCGAATTGGCAAAGAATCCAGTGAATCATGAACGAAGAAAACATATTGATGTTCGATTTCACTTCATTCGTGAACATGTGAAGGAGGGAAGTGTCGAATTAAGGCATGTAGCAAGCAGAATCCAAGCAGCGGATATTTTTACAAAACCACTATCAAAAGAGGTCTTCAACAGAGGCAAGAAGATGATAGGAATGCTGGATGGAAGAAACATTTAAGTTTACAGAGGAGTTTTATTGAATAAACATTAAATGTGTTAGTAATAAAGTTTTACATTAAACATGGTAGTAGGAAGGACAAAAGTTTTAGTAAGTTATTAGTAGCAGTTATGTTTTAGTTTATGTTTTAGAATTGTAAAAGCTATTTGGGTCTATAAAAGACCAAGAGTGTATTTTATTTTATAAGAGCAATATAGAAGTATTCATATAGAAGTCTGATCACTTTATAACAGAGATTCCATATGTCTAGCTGTCTAAAAACACATTGGCACGATGATTGGTGCATGAATCACTTACATCCTATTTTGAGACATTTGAGTAGTCAAGATTAGACTTTTCTCTTCAGGGAAGATTTGGCAAGAATCATGTTTGAACACTACACTAAGTTTCTTTTGCTGAAGTTGACCAATGCTCGGAAGATTGTTTCTCAAACCTAGTATGTAATAGACATTTGTTACCACATGCGCCTTGTTGATAATTCTCAACTTCATATTTCCTTTTGCCATTATAGACATTGTTGAGTTATCACATATCTTGATATATTCTATGAGGTTTGCAATAAATTCAAAGAATTAAGCTTTGACCCCATCCATATGATTACTACACCCAAAGTTAAGATATCATATCTCTTCCTTGGCCCAAGTTTTAGATCCACTATTGGCCATGAAGATCATCTCTTCTTCTTCCTTGAATTCAACATAGTCATCATTTTCTTCTCAGTTAGGACACTCACTTTGATAGTGACCTAGCTTGTGACATTTGTAGCATTCCATAAATTCTCTACTTTGTCTACCTCTGCCTTGACCTCTTCTTGAAAACCTTCATCCACCTCTCTCAACACCTATTCTTGTATTGGACACCTTCGACTCTTGTTCTTCAATCAAGTTTCTTTGACCTTTCATCCCTTTCTCATGCACAAGCAAGTTACTTTGAAGTTCATCAATAGAAAAAGTTGTTACATAATTAGACTCTTCAATGGAGCACAAAACTTAGTTGAATTTTGATGACATTGACCTCATGATCTATTCAACTACTGCTGCCTGCTCCAATTTCTCTCTACGTGCAATCATCTGATTAGCAATGTAAGTTTTCTTACAAAGTATTCATCAACCTTTTCAGTTTTACCATTGCAAGAACTTCAAATTCTCTATGCAAAGACTGCTAGTGTTCTCTTTTGACCTTCGAAGAACCATGACATGTGCGGCGCATCGCATCCCAAATGTCCTCGGCTGTGTTGCGCACGAGAATGGTTTCAAAGGTCGACTTATCAATGGACTGTAATAGATAATTCTTGGCCTTCAATTCTTTCAATTTTCTCTCCTCTATAACCTTCAACTATTCTTGAGTCGCATCTGGTGGTGCTATGCTGATATCGTTTTCGATCAATCCCCAATACTAATTTGATTGAAGAAAATTCTCCATTAACATAGACCAATGATCATAGAAACCATCAAATCTTAGAATTACAGACTGCATGAATCTTTCTTGCGAGGATTCAGTCTTAGTGAAAGAGTAAGAAGCAAGCAAGGTTCAAGAATGAGATAGGAAAGGAAAAAATAATGGTGCAAGATGAAGAAGAGAATAGTGGTTATAAGTGAAAAAACTATTGTTTTCATTTGAACAAGGGGAGGATCTTAACCAGAGTGACGATACCACTTGTTGGATCAAAAGCAAAGTTCTCTCATTTACTATGTGCAATAGAACTTATACAAGTAAACATATAGTTGTGAGCATTACTTGCGAGCCAAGCAATATTGTAACTAACTCTTAACTACTAATAGTAATGCTTAACAACTAACTAACAACAATCCTAAGACAAGAATATACAACAATGCTAAGACAAAAATATACAACAATTTGTATGTTTGTTTAAATAATGTTATCTCGCGAAGAGACGAATGTGTAAATTTTAGAAATTCAAAGTGTTTAAAAAACCATTGAGCAATCCCTTTTTTCTTCTACTTTCTTTCAGATCCAAATACACAAATAAGTCCAACTATAAATACTTGTCTTCTGTTACATATACTTTCATTCTTTTCCGTAAGTAATTGAATTAAATTCTAATTGTATTAAGAATGAGATTTTTGGAAATAAATTATGTTTAGTTTTTAAGGAAATATTAACCTGTATGGTTATAATGTAGATGTTAAGACATAAATATTGTCTTAAATGCTAGTGTTTGGGGTCTGCTATTTAAGGTTGATTCAGTCCATTAATTTAGATAAATTGGATGCAAATGAGTAATCTAACGAATCCCCTTTAAAATATTTTTAAATCTTAACATGAAACACACATTCACACATCGATCAACAATATTTTATAGAATAAAATTTCTTTATTTGTTCTCGTGCACTAAAAAAAATAGAAGAATGATTTAGATATAATTTTATACTTAAAATATGTTATTTTCATGTATTTGTTATTTTCATGTGGGAGAGGTGGCAAGAACTCCGTAGTTTACTTAAATCTCATAAATTTGTTATGATTCTGATCAGTTATTCATTATTACTCACTCTCATACTATAGTTATTGCATTTGCATCACCATAGATCAATGTTGAAGAAATTACTCATTGTTATTGTTATTGTTATTCTTATATGAATGAATGATTCGTGATTCGTGATTAGTGATTCATGATTCAATGATGATAGGGTTAAGAAAATACACAACAAAGAGACCTCCAACATCGATCATTACGTTGGCTTTTGTGGTTTGTTTTGTTATAATTATCTACATCTTTTCTACACCAACAAGCACACCACGTTCCGATAAATGTAGTTTCTATTCGTCCGAAGGTTGTCGTACGCGTGATCTGTTTCCTAATGCTTATTTTTCTCGAGAATTAACCGATCCAGAGATCGAATCTCGTGTTGTTGTTAAAGAGTTACTCAACTTTGTCCCTATTCAAACCACAACACCAAAAGTTGCTTTCATGTTCATGACGCCCGGTTCATTGCCTTTCGAGAAACTTTGGCACCTCTTCTTTCAAGTAAGCCTTTCTCTTCCTTAATGCTATGATATGAATCAGTGACATTGAATTCAGGTGATCTGTGTATTGTGATGTGTCTGATACCTGACACGTCTTTGGTTAAAAATGTAAATAAAATGTGTATAATTACCGGTTAGGAGATTCGTATAGATGCATTTATTTTGAGAATGAGTCCGGAGCCAAATTCATGTAACAAAAATGTATTTCATGCCAAAATGTAGGGGCATGAAGGAAAATTTTCAATTTATGTACATGCATCCAAGGAAAAACCAAGACATGTCAGTAGATATTTTCTTGGTCGAGAAATTCACAGCGAACCGGTATGTATGATGGCGTATATGATATACTCTTAGGCATGGCATATTTGTTAACATAATATTAAGTGATCTAAATTTTCATAAAGGTGAGTTGGGGGAGTTTCGCGATGGTTGAAGCAGAAAGAAGACTTTTAGCAAACGCGCTTTTAGACCCTGATAATCAACATTTTGTATTGCTGTCTGACAGGTAATTTTTTCTTATCTGGTTTATCTTTAGTGTAAAGTCGTGTTTGGTTTGAGGATTCGATCTTATTCAATAACGCGTTATTTTGTTTCAGTTGTGTACCTATACGCCACTTTGAATTTGTCTACAGCTACTTATTGTATACAAATGTCAGCTACATTGAAAGGTAAGACATTGATATATTATGCATATGTACAAAGAATTTATATTTGTTTTCTGGAAATTCTAGTTAAATTCTTCTTTCGCCTTTTCAAAAGCTTTCTTGATCCCGGTCCTCATGGAAATGGAAGATTTATAGAGCATATGTTGCCTGAAGTAGAACTGAAGGATTTCCGAAAGGGTTCGCAGGTATGACTTATATCCTAAAAATTTAGGAATCAATTGAAACTTTTGTGGCATGTAGTAAATTTGGATTGTGTTTGTACTGCAGTGGTTTTCAATGAAGCGGCAGCACGCTGTAATCGTTATCGCAGATAATCTCTATTACACAAAATTCAAGTATCACTGCAGGGTACTTTCGTGTTACTTATAATCACTTTATTCATGCTTTTCCTGATTTTAAAGTATGTTAGACTTGATAAATATGTTCATTAATCAATCAACATAGAGATTTAATAGATTTCTTCTTAACCAAGTTACATAGAGATTTAATAGATTTCTTGTTAACCAAGTTACAAAAGCAATACTAATAATTTTTTTCTTTTATTCTAACCATCAATCCTAAATGAGTTTACATGTTTTTTTTTTAACTTCCAAAGCCAAATATGGAGGGCGGACGCAACTGTTACTCAGACGAGCATTATTTCCCGACGTTCTTTCATGTCAGTGAACAATGTTCATCAATCCGATCTCTTCTAAATGGCAACGACGTTCCTATCTTTCGTTGCTAACTTACTCGTTATATGTTTAGATGCTTGATCCAGGCGGAATTTCAAATTGGTCGGTAACATACGTTGATTGGTCAGAAGGAAAATGGCATCCTAGAACATTCGGTGCTCGAGATGTTACTTATAACGTCGTCAAAGCCTTAACAGTACGCGATTCAAACTAAGCATTCTTTATCGATTCACCGTTTTTTTCTTTTCTAATATCTTAATGACATAATTTCATTCATTCACTGCAGTCCTTTGATCAAAGTCCACATATTACAAGTGAACCAAAGGTAAAAAATGATAATACTTAACTATGTTTTTGAATCAAAGGAATAAACTATTTTTTAACTCGATTTTGGTATGCTTTTCAGAGAACAGTTTTGATGACACCTTGCATGTGGAATGGATCAAAGCAGCCTTGTTATTTATTTGCCAGGAAGTTTTATCCAGATGCCTTGGAGAGATTGATGCACCTTTTCTATAATACTACTTCAATTTAAACTATTTTCGATTCATCGTCATTTTTCGATAATCAACAGCTTATGATTATGATCCTTAGCCTCATTTTGGCTCTTGCACATAACATTAGTCCCACGTTCCAGAGGCAATTGGATAAAATTCTATGGGGAGACAGAGAAATTGATTCATGTATTCATACATTTCAATTGGTTGGACCTTGAAAGATGAATAGTTTGATGTTGGTATTTTACATTTTAGTGATTATTTGTTTAGCAACATTGTGGATTTTTGTGTTGGATGGGAAATAACTAAGAAGTGAAATAGCAGGTAACATAGGATGGAAATTAGATTATTTGATCATGCAAATTCATACATGATTGATTAAGAGCAACTTTTTTACTTTTATTTTATATTAATGCAGAGCTTTTTATTATTTAAATTTGTGCTTCTTCAAATTAATTTCCTTAAAAACTTAGATCTTATTTATATACTTTTCAATTGATAATCAATTCTAATATAAATTTTCACTGCACTTTTTTCCAGTAAAGTCAAATATCATCTGTGTATAATAAGTGTAGAAACTATATTACAACACAACTCAAGTGGAAACTGAAGGTGTGTTCTCTGGAGACTTTTTCATGTGTGGTTGGTTTCTAGTCCATTTTTTGTATATTTTTTTTTAAAAAGTGGCACGTTGTTAGCCATTTATTTTCGACACCGTATTAAAATTTACTAACTCCGGTTTAGGAGAGTCTCAGGAACAAATTCACAAAATTAATATCAGTTTTTCTCTTCAAAACATGTCCAAAATTTTGAAAAAGTTTGCACGAAACAACACTTTGAAGTGGAGATATGGCGTAGGGACTTAGTGTGTCTTTAAATCCATAGGTCAGCTGAACTATGGATGCTTCGACAACACTATAAAAGTCGACTGGATATTCTCGTCAAAAGCAGTTGGGAGATGAAATTCTAGTATACAGATCTCAGATGTCCTAACACATGTTTAAGACATTGATCTCCGTTTAACATCACAAAGACAAGACAAAGCATACTGATATAATACTTATCAATCCAAAGTCGTGACAGATGTTCTAACATCTTATATGACATGTCAATTAATCAAGAAACAAAACTGAACAATGCAGAATGATAATAACACAAAGATATGATGGCCCAGTTCAGTGTACAACGACACCTACTCTGGAGACTACCAAGCTAGGAAGGAAGTCCACTATCAACAATATTAGTTCAAAGCCTAAACAATCACGGTTTACAACTTCTCGCACCAATGCAGCTTCTACTTAGGTCCTCCCTAAATATGAGAAATCGTCATCTCACTTCCCAAATCACCTTAGTGATATGTGACAATCACAACCTCTGGTGACTGCATCAAACTACTTGAAAGACACCCATTTCAAATAATGTCCAGCCAAGATTCTTGACTAACAAACACACTTAGATTTTCTTCAAAGCTTCATCCAAGAACAATATACAATTCATTACCTAAAGGCTTATGAATCTGTATAGACGCAAAGTCTACCACAATATATCAAACCGATACAAAGGGTGACTTACAGCACAAGGAAGTACACGACTCTCAAAATCCTAAACCCTTATATTTTATTTACAAAAGTTTTACACACGGATTAGTTAAAAAACCCTAGGTCTAAGTCTTTCTTTTATAATCTTCAGTGAATTGGATTTGAGTTTCGAAACGCAACATATAAGTTGTTGAAAATCTGCAGAATCTTCTGCATAAAAATAGGTCTTCAATCATAACCTTCCTAACTTATCTCCATAATTAGAAAGTGAATATTCTTCTAGATTTCAACTTGAATCTTCCAGACCTTAAAATTAGCGCCACATAGGTGTTTACCCTGGAGTTTGATAAACAACCGTTGATCTTCTAAATCCCTTAACAAATTCAGTTACTTGCGAGATCGATCATATTGATCTAAGGACTATTGTGTTCTAGTATTTAGAAAACGTGTTTTTCGTGATAATCTCTTTTAAATGAAAGGAAGCACTTCGTATGTCGAAGTGGAACTTCTTTATGAAAGTAATAAAGCAGAAACTAGTTTAAACTGGAAATTATAAAGAACATAAATAACATGAAGAAACTTCATTGCATGTAAATGACATTGAATTGTAAAATATGGTGCATCATACGTACATTCTCACTAACTCGTTTCTCTAACACTGGTACTTTGAGTATATTTGAATATTTTGTACAAAGATGTGAACACCCTAAATTGAAACACAAAAGCTACAATTTATAGAATTTCGACCCTAACGGTCTCCTAACGAATTAATGACACGTTTCCTGTTGACATGTCTTCGATGATCCTAAAGATTCCACGCGCCCTTCTGGATAAGAATAAATATTTCGAATTCAAAACCCTTCGATTATCCGTCTTAAGCGCCAAATCTGATAACGTTCGAAGTATAACGTTTTGAACCTTATCTCGAATAATACTTTAATTCGAATTCGAATTTCAAATGATACCTTATTTCGAATGATACTTTATTAATAAACCATCCATCAATTTCGATTTCAAATCTTCTTGGTTTCAAAAAAATAAAATAATCAAACAACTCTCCAAGTATATTCAGTACCATTGTTTCAGCTCAATTTTGACTTAGTCGAAATTTCCAGCCAACAAATTTCCCCCAAGAAATATTCATTTCGAAACCAGAAATGCATATTTTTTCCAATCTCCTCAAATTTCGACCTTCTGAACAATTCCTCAACCGCTTCAACTTATTATGACGTCATTATCAAAATGACTTCTGATCCTCAAACGTCTAATCAACGTATGAGTATCTATAAATGTCATCATTAGCTATGATGAATAGTCTTAACTTTGGAACTCACAAAAAACCGTTCATCAAGCAAAGGATCTCCTTACACGTGTCCCACTAAAATTTTAACTTCCCTATTTCCATTAAAAACGATTCAATTTCCCTTCATATAAATTTAACACCATTCATTTTATTTTTCTTCTGCATTTTTCCAAATCAAAAGTCCTCTCTTCTTCTTCTAAATTTCAACAACTTTTCTGTAACTTTTTCTTCTTCAAAACACAATCAATGGCGTCCCAGAAGAAATCAAAGTCTGGAAAGAGAAAATAACACACAGATGATGCTGCTTTCAATCCTTTACTCAAAGTAGCAACACCCATCATGATTGGAAATCAAGAATTTGGTCCTACACCATCTCTGAGGAATGAACAAATTGCCATCTACGCTTGCCAGGTGATAATTCCCTTCACTCTTGCTTCTGATACCTTAGGATATATGGGTCATATACTCAATGTATCAGATATATCAAAACTCAAGAGACTTTTCCCTGCTTACCACTTGACTAGACCCATAGATAGTAAACCTATGGTTAGTAAGAAATTTGTTGAAAACACAAGGATAGAAGACGCAACACCTTCCCAGGAAAATACTCCTCAAAAGGGTGAAGAACAAAATAAATCCTCCTTTAAGCTAGACTTCGTTACAGAAGTTTTGAGACCCTTTATATCAGGTCCATTAAAAGAGGATAAGAAGTACCTTGGATGGTTAGCTAGGGTAGTGAAAGCGAAATCAAACACATGGAAAAACCTGGGAATCTTAGACTTGATTCATCTGTCGAAGTTTGGTCTTGAATACTGTCAGCTAATGTTAATAACTTCGCTGTACTTCTGGGATAGTACTTATAACACTTTTCACCTACCCTGCAGAATGTTAACCCCAACACTCTTTGATGTTGCTGCAATCACGGGTCTTCGACCTACAGGAGAAACCTTCGATCCCACCTTGGACGCTGATGAATCTATTGACTTCAACAATACTTCTCCCACTTATAACAATTATATTGATCACTACTTGGGATTAACAGACGAAGTTAGTGATCAGGAACATATAGCTTTTCTTGCTTTATGTTTTTCTAGATGTGTCTTCTGCTGCAAATCTCTGCAAGTTTCCAGAAGATTTTTAACCCTTGCTAACCAACTCCATGTTTGTCGAAATGTTTGCTTGAGCGAACTAATTCTTGCTGGAATATTTGAGAGCCTTGGGGAGGATTCCACAAGATTAAAAAACTTTGAACCAAAAACCAACATTTTACTGGCTGGTCCATATTGGTTACTTTAGCTGTGGCTCAATGCCACCTTCGAACCTTCCCTTTTGAATACAAACCCAATTGATGAATCTAATCTCGAAATCCAGAACAGGACTGTCAAAGGAACTAGACCGGTTCGTTTAACCTCTGATGATGGAGGGAAAAAATTGCAAGAATGCTTCTCTAGGCACCTGATGATGTTTGCAAAGAGGTACAAATTTACTCTTATAATGGCACCATTTGTGTGGCCCAGAATGGTTCACAAGACCTTTCACTGGCCTTTCAACTAAACAACAAACATAATCCCTTCAGATTTGGGATGCTTTCTTGATCCCTAGACTCCTTGTTACCAGGATTATGCCCAAGAAAAATCAGAACATTTTTCTTACTTACCAACCCAATTTTGTCGCAAGATAATTTAGACTCTGCCAAATCCTTCCTGAACCATTAAATTACCACAAAAGTGACACCTGTCATAGAGGAATGAATTTCACAACTATCGAAGCAAAGAAAATTATCAGCAAGTTCAAAGGCTTCCTCCACCTCAATCTTTTACCATTCAAACCTTCGACTTTATGTACTCAAGACTTCAAAAGCTGGTGGCAAGAACATTATGTCTCCAACATGTTTGGTGTTACTGACTTCAACAACCATATAACCAAAACTTTTGCCTCTGTGCAGGACAAAACAAAGAAAGGTATGCATCGACACATCAAGAAAATCTAGGCATTCCAAAAGTACTTTGAAACTATCTACAATCCTATTGATCTTGGTCGAACCATTCGAGATGCATCTCTGATTTTAAAAGAAAAGTTTACAGCAAAACTCCCATGTTTGAGCATTCTTTCGAGTGTCAAACCTGAGGATATATATGACTTGACTTTTCAATTAGGGCCTCCAAAATTCCCCAGATTGCCCACAGCTGACTTTTCT